TCCACTAAATTCACCAAATATAGCAAAAGAAAGGAATTCATCTAATTTACCTTCATGGCCTACGATCCTTCACGAAAGTATGCCGAACCTTATCTTTTAAGTAGTCAATTTTCTCAGAGAAGTAGAACTCTGGAGGCCGAGGTTCCATGCTTTATTTTGGAATATTCGTAAACTCGACTGTTTCAACCAATGAATCAAGTAGAAGCATCGAGCCTCCATCATCTGACACACAACCACTTTCTTAACTGGATAATCTACAGCCAAGATTGAAATAGAATAGCTAATGTTTGCAGTAATAATCTGAACCTAGAATTGAAACACTTTTAGAAGTTACGGAAAAGCTAGAAATTGAGAAAGAGTCGTATCCGGAAAGATGAGCAGCCGTTGATCCGATGATGGGTTGTTTTAGAGGTGGTTGGCGAGGCAGGTGGTGGAGTGGTTGCAGATGGCAGTGTGGGTGGCCGGTGATGAAGTTGAGGCATTATGGAATTTTGAGGATTTTGGAGGTTTTCACCGTATTAATTATGGGATGAAGAACTTGTGTGCCGTAAGAATTAGTTTTCATTGTATTAATCAATTTTCAAACTTTTTGGCCGTATTGAGCCTAATTTTCCCTTCTAGGATTTGCTAAAAGCTTCACAGAATGTAATACAGGCCCAGCCCATAAATATTAGGTTCGGCCTAGAAAAATACTAGCGCAAAAGTTGGTCTTGTGCATGCTTTTCTTGTTTTCATAGCGATTTTTTGTTTATTATTGGTCTTGGCAGTGGGTATAAGGGCTTAGTACATAATACAGTGAAACTTTAATGCAGAGAAATGGCCATTCACAATGAAAATCAGCCAAAAGTTTTTCAACTTCTTTTTGAGGACAATCCATATGTTGCAGTTGGACTGGATATCTGGACCACAATCGAGAATTGGATGACAGAATTCTGTTCATATTTCTACAAAGATGATTGCTTCTGTTAGTTCTGACCATGAGATTCACAATTGGTGGTCAGAAATCCCAATAAATGCAATGAAACATGGTGTTGGATTGTTTCAGCTATCCACGCTGCTGTTAATTTCTGACAGTGTGTACACTGATTATCCAGCAAATCGCTCTACGTCATGTAGAAAGTTTATTCCAGTTGAAAGGTCACACCTGTTTGCTGAATTTCGTAGGAATCCCAACAAGTTTTATCTCAATATCTTACCTACAAGGTCTGAGATGACTCTTCGCGTAGACTTGGTTGAGGTTCTGTCGAGGTATGTGTCCAGTGAATCAAAATTAGATCAAGAGCTATCACCAAAGTGGATAGATGATCAAAGGATTCACAAGAGCTTCGAGAAGTTTGCCTCAGCTGAACTTCAAGAAGTGGAGGAAAAGAGATCAGAAAGAGAAACAGAGTTCCAAAGCTTTAGAATAGACAAAGGACCTGCCAACATTGAATATGAACTTTCATATCCTGGTACATCAAATATCGGATCACTAGGAGGTATCACGAGAAGAGGAATCCCCAATCGGAGATTGATCACAGATTCTTATTTATCCATAATAGAACATAGTATGATTCCCTTACGTGTGCAAACACGTTATATAATGCACTAAGGTAAAATGTAAAGACTATCACTTATTATATTTCTTCTCATAAATTCAAGTCTTCTTAGTTTGAAATGGGATTAGGCTCAACACAAACAACTTGAGTAGAATATATCGATGCATGAACAAATTGATTATGACCGCCTTTCGTTCAACTGATACATGCCCATCAACATTGTAACCATATACTTAACATTTAGAATTTGTTCCTACTAATAAATAAAGTAGATTATTTAAGTTTGTTTACCAATCAATCATCCCAGCATCGATGTGGGTTTGGACAAGTTTCTCCAAGGGATTTGATGATGTTTCTGGGGCTATGCTCCGTGGTCATCCGCCCTCCAATATGCCTCTCAAACCCTCAATCCAAACCTGCAGCTTCTCAACCTCACAACAGTTCACAGAATGAACGGCTATCACGGCCTATCTCCGGGATACATTAATAAAAGCAGATGTTAAAGGTCATCTAAATTAATCATTTCGTCATTGTTCCAGTTGATTACTGATAGATCTTCCTTCGACTTGGCTTCCGAAAGTCTCTCAGTTTCTTCCAAGGCTTTGTCTAATGCATCTGCTAAGTCTACTTCCCATAAACCTAATTTACAGACACGTTTGTATGTCTTGTAACTTGCTGCTGCTAATCCTTTCGAGATCATATCTTTCAGAGATACACTGAAGATTTCTCCAGAATCCATTATCCTCAGAAAATGTTCTGAAACCCCGGGAGTCCAGAAAACAACTACTGCACAATTCTTATCCACCATTTGAACATCAAATTCATTGGAAAACACTTCATGTGAAACATGAAGAAGGGCTTTCAGCTTTCCAGCAGAAATCCCACTTTCTAACCCCCATAAGAAAACCAAATTGTCGATGCTAATCCTTCTGTTATTTTTATTCCAAATTCTAACATCTTCATCAATGGGATCTTCAGAACTGGTCAAGGAAGGGTTAAATGTATTGGCATGGCGTTGAAGGGCAGATGACAAATTGCTGTAGTCATCTTCAAAAGTTTCAGGATTGATTTTTAATACAGAGCACAGCTTAGCAAACAACTCGCTTATTCGCAGAACATTATGGCCATGACTCTGGACTTTGTTTGCCTCAGCTGATGTTAAGAAATTATCACCAGTTAGTTACAAGTTATGAAGAATAAAAAGCATTTCAATTATTAGCTTGATTTACCATGCGTGAAATCTATAAGCATACTTGTCAGAGAAGATATCTGAAAGAAGCAACGATTCTCTTTCTAAATATTTATTCCATATTTAGAAATAAAGCACAAGCGGAGTAAGGGTAAATACGCTTACAAGGCAAAGCATATCTATATATATATATAAACATAAGTACTTGCCTCGGTGAGAAACTTCCATATCTATGGGCGCAAAGAACTTCCTCCTCAAATAGGAGATGGACGCGGGTAGATTATTCGCTTTTTCAAGAGGGTCAATTTCCTTCATAAGATGGTTAACATCAAGTATACGAGGAAAGACCAATAGCAAGGAACTTCTGAATTCATTGACTGTTGAAGGAAGTGGACCCAGGAACTTCGAATATATAAATGTAAAATCTGCATGAATTAACCAAATAAAGTGTAATGAGTTTATCACTAAAGCAAGTTTGGCAGGATTAATCTCTGATATAATTAGTTTCATAAGAGAGAGAGAGAGACCACTGAGTGAATTGTGAGCAACGACAGGTTTCTGAGAAGTGGAAATCAAGTCTATCACCTCTCGAAAGCCACGAACACGTTTATTACGCTCCTCTTCCATATCCCGAAGTTCCTTCTGTAGTTTGAGAAAACAAAAAATGTTAAATAGACCAGGTTAAACATAAGACAATCATAAAAATCATATTTGAGAAAAATGAATTCCTTAATACCTCGAGAAGGTTCTTGTCTTCTTCTGAACTTGTCAAAACAACTCGAACAGCCTGTATTCCTCCTCCTCTTGCAGGAACTAACATAGGTACAACATCAATAAACTCCTTCAACATCTGCGGCCCAATTCAAATACTTAAAAATATATCAGGACATACATCATACTTAATCATATTGTAGCAAGTACATGACAAATTAGCTCACTTCTAATAAAATTTGCACTTGACGTTCACTACAGACGGTTATAATTAAGCACGGTCTAGAGCCGTAAACTTCACTTCCTGAGACAAGTTTTCTCAACATACTGATCAAAACGTCTGCAAATGCAGAAGAATATTAGACTATAAAAGGAAAAAAAATAGTAGGAACAACATAAATTAAATTAACACTTTACTAACCCTCTGTCTTCTTGTTTGAATCTTTACAAGCATTTATCCAATGTCTAACTCGAGATTTTGTGCTTTCTCTAAAAACAGAATCAGCAATTGAATTGGCTGATGAAGATGGCACGAGAAAGCTACTGGGTGATGAAAGTCCAATTTGATCTGCTGCAGCCAGTTCTTGTGCTCTGGACAAGTATGATATACCTGTCCGAAAAAGAAACTCCAGATTTGGGACAGAAGTGAATGTCAGCAGGAAATGATGGAAATGCTTACTTATTGTACCAGAACCTTTCTACAGAATCAGACAGCAACATGTCAACTAAAACACTTCCTCCCTGACTTTCTTCCCACCTATCCCCACTCCCAGGAAAAAAAATGCAAAACGGAAAGAAAAAATGGAAACACCAACAATAAAGGAAATCAAGAGAATAGCTTAGAGGTTTAGAATAGCAAATTAAGCATGAGTCTGCATACAAGTGTGTCACTGATAATTACTTACATGCTAGTTATTGTAAGACATAATTAAAAATATGTGCAGCATCAGCTCAGCTACAATATGATCACCACTTTATCAACATATTATTTGCAACTTCATTTATCCATTTTAAGTTCCAAGTTGTAACTAGACTTTTAGTTTTGGTGAAATGTTATATTATAATTTTTTTATGGTTTATTATGAGAATAAATATTTTTTTTTTGTTTTGCGATTTTTTAAATTACGTTATTAGTTACATTGAATGTTATGCCTTAAATTGCAATGAGGCTTATGCCTCACTTGATGGAGGAATTGCCTCAACGCTCAATTTAGCCTGCCTAAATGCTGAGAACTACTCTTCTAGCTCCATGAAGAACTAAAAAAAATATGAGAATTCCTTAATTTAATTGTCTAAATATTTCTTCCTCATAAGGTTTCAAAAGCTTCAGAAAAGATACAAGGATGCATATTCAACAATATCCGAATTCCACAGAATTGATGTCACATACCATCATATATGCAGGCATTAAAATCAAAACCTTCTCGAGCCATAGAGGTCAAATATGACGGTTGGCATGAAAAGCTGTAAGAAGGCATCGCAATTTTCAACTCATCCCTTGGAAACAAATGGAAGTTATACCTGCAACCATAGAAAGAAGATTGCCATCGATGAAAATTCCCCTATGAAATGGAATTGTCTAAATAATACTAAGTCTTATCAAACAGAGTCTTATTGGTTCTTGTCCCCTTC